CATCTCCATGCTGGTGAGGCAGAGGGGTTTGTAGGCTTTGGTCAAAGAAGATGGCCATTAAACTAAAAACAGAGTGCTTGGATCCAACCATCGTGAACAACCTCCAGGGCTTTTGGACCACGCGGTGTGTGAATAAGGTAAAGGTTCCCCTTGAACATATATGCTAGTCATTCCCGACTCTAGGGAGCAGTGCTCATCTCTGTTTCAAAGCCGAAGAGCCGGCGCTGTCCAAAGACGTCTCCGTGGTCATGTGGCGAGCATGACTCAACGCCGAAGGTGCACGGAACGCTGTTCCCTTCCCACCAAAGGTGGTTCCTATTTTTCTACTTGCATTTTTACCTGCTTTCAAACTGCTAGGTTGGCAGAAGCTGGGACAAGTAATGGGAGCTCACTCCATTACACAGCGCTAGGGATTCGAACCGCCAAACTGCCGACCTTTCTATCAACAAGCTCAGCGTCTTAGCCACTGAGCCACCTTCAGTGTGTGGATACACTTGCGCAAATCCAAGTTTCCATAAACCCCTTAATTCACCAGAAGGGCCGGTTCAGTAGGAGAGGCAGGATTAAATAGGCAATCCTCAATGTACGACCATGACTGGGCCCCAGCGTTTCTCTTGCTAAGTGCGACACTTGTTAAATGAGCTTTTACAATCTTTCTTGGCACCGTAGTTGAGTCGGCCGCTGCAGTTCTTAAGCTAGGAACACAGTTGCTAAGTGGCTTCTGCATAGACCTTGCTTGTCAATAGTTCTCAAAAAAGGGGATGGCCTTGGGACGCTGCCCCGGGACACTGCCACTGTCATAAATAGGAACCAGTGGCCAAGCATTCCAATCTTGGTCACATCGGAGGTGGGATTCAGCCGGTTCTCTCCGGTTCGGGCGAACCGGCAGCGGTGGCTGCGGGAGGCTCCACCTACCCGCCCTGACGTAACGTACGAGCACTGCGCATGGCCAGAAGGCAGTGTGCATGCCCAGATGTGGCACGTGTGAGCAAAGCATGGGCAGCGCAATCACGTTTGTGAACTGGTAGGGAAGGTAAGTGAATCCCACTGCTGGGAATTCTGCCATGGTCATAAGTGTGAAAAATGGCAATGTCCCTTTTTGTGTGTGCGGTTTTTCGTGTGTTCACTAAACAAATGGTTGTAATACAAAGGAAGACCTGTATTCCTTCTGGGGAAGGCGGAAGAGCTGTAGCAACTCCGTATTTTGATATACATGAGGTTTCCTCACCCCCAGCAACCAAAGCAGTGCCTTACCATGACCTCCCAAATGGTTTTAGTTGATGGAGAAATGAAGCATTCCTTTCCAATGCCTACCATCACCTTTGCCATCATCTCTTGCTCCTCCAAGTTCAGACATGCCTCTAATTGCTGTTCTTTCCTGCCTCAAAGTTCTGGATGAAGAAGAATGTAAAATAAAACACACACACA